AGAGGGTAATGTAAATTGGGCTTTTTATTCCCATCCCACCACTAATTTTAATTTAACAAAGACTAATTACTTGATTTCTTATTGAATGGCTCACATCAGCTCTCCTTACACGTGAAAGCCGACCCTAGACGTGAGCAGACGGGGCATGCAGGCAACACTGAGAAAGGAAGGGGACATCAGTTTTTGGTTTAAGGTGCAAACCTAAAATTTCTGTGCTCAACCGCTACCCTGAAATTGCAGCAATTTTACATGCCAGTTAGTGCAGATAATGCTGATTTCATGCAGTGAATGTTTATTGCACTGACATTAGATCAGCCCATATTTTTTGTACAGTGTTTCTATTGGGTTTTTTGCACTGCAGCAAGCATAAAAGACTCCTTTGATGGATGGGTTTTAGCTTGTCTTGAGAGGCTGCTCTGGGCGCAAAACAGTCATATCTCTGTCAACATCAGAAGACGTAGAGAAGTTTCAGTTTTTTTTCCTTTGCATCGCTTAACAAAAAATTTGTCTTCCCAAGTTTACTTTGCACTTCTTATGACCTTTGCACAGCTGTTACTCTTAACAAATTGGCCCTGATATGACATGCTTGTTTTACTCCTTTAAGTCAGACCATGCAGCTTGGAAGGAATGAGGTAGAAAACAGAACTGAACCTTTGCAACTATGGGACCAGGGCTTAAACCACTAACCTTCTGAGCAGTAGGTGTATTTTTTTGGTTATCATTTGGCCATAAAAGGAAGGTTTTAGGTATGCAAATGTTAATGTCCTTGTCATGGCGCCTTTAAATGATCTGACCCACATGTAGAAAACCAAGGGAAAGTTTGACAGGTTTATTGATGAGAATCACAGAAAGTAGAATCTTGAACTCAGAGAGCTGATGAAGCGGAACTAGAAGTGGAAGGGAAGTTCACAGCGGTTAGTTCCATGGCCGTAGGAAACTGAAAAGAGTTCTTGAAAAATTGATGAAGCGGTACTCACGTTGGAGGGGCTTTCAGTCTAATCCTTGAATCCAGAAAGTGTGGGTTATCCAGAGGACTTCCGAATTCTGACGGAACTTGAACGGGTCGTGTGGAAGTTTTCCGCTGCTCAGTGTGAACACAAAAGATCCTTCCAGGGGGAGAAGGCCAAATCTCCAGTCTGCGGGAAGGCTTCCTGACAAAAGGCAAAGACAAAAAACAAAGTTAATCTCAGAGAAAACAAAGCTCAGGTTAGACTCAGCTAATCTCGGCTTGGCTAGAGTACCCAAAACTGGCAAACACTCTGGCGTTGAGGTAGTGGCAGTCAACGGCTCAAATACTCCCCAGTGATGAACCAACGAGCCGCAGGTGTGTAGGAGGGCCAACGAGGACAGGGCGCCACCTGGTGGTGGAGGGAGAGACAAACACAAAACAACCCACACAAACTGGATTCCTAACAGTCCTACAAAGATAAACTGAGAAAATACTTAATCGACTCTGTTAGACATGACAATATTTAATTTGACAGTATTTGTATCGATACAGCCGAATGGATCTTAAATGTAAAAATTATTCATTGTCAAACTTCTATTTTATGTCTTATTTTTATATAAGTTTTAAACCTCCAGCCACCAGGTGGGAGTACGGGGGGAATTTTACCAAATTCTTGCCAATTTACACCACTAGTAAATAGGGAACTTTTTATTTCAAATGATTATTTTGCTTCGCCCGTCCTTTGTAGACAGTAATCAGAGATCACTTTAAAAAGCCATGTCCATGTACTGCCAATCCTACAGAATATAGAAATCTATTGAACAGAACCTGTCTGACAACATGAAGCAGGCCTAAGCTGTGCGATTTTTTTCAATTGTTGCACGCAGCTACAGCTCACACTGTACGATGAAACCACAGGGTTGATCGGTGGTTGTTGTGAGAGGCTGACTGCCCCCGTTATCCCCTGTAGACTACATGACGCACGACCCACGATCAAGCTGAAAGTCGGTCCAATCGAAAAATTCTCGTAGGACTGGAAAGTCGGCCTGAGTAGGGCAAAAAAAATCGCACAGTGTAAGCCCGGCTTTAAGCTATATGCAAACTCTGCAAGAAATTAGACATTCGTTTTTTCTCTCCTTGATCTCCAAGTACAAAAATGAAATTATTCAATCCTTTTATGTGTCAATCCTCTGCTTCCAGAGTTCTTGACACATAATCTTGGGGCATTTTCCGGTGATGTTCTTTGAGAACTATTATATTATTGTTCAGGAATGTGAACAGTGTTTTTTTTTTTTTTTTGAGCCATTTGGATTTGGATCTGCTGTTGTGCTTGGATAGCTTTCCTTCTGCAAATCCCAGACTGCAACATACAGTTAGTGCTGCAGTGGGTTGTCCTCAACTGTGACTGATGTCACCAAT